GTTTGCCCAGGAGCTGCACACAGCCAGGGCCAGCGGTCAGCCTGTTTCTAAGGACTGAACTCTGGAAGAAATGGCGTGCACCTTCCTGAGGCCCACAGGCTGTGCTCCATTCCCTCTGCCTTCTGCCAGGCTGCCTGGAAGACGAGAAGTCTGTCCACAGGGTGGACCTGACTGACAGCTCCCCTGAGACTGCCCGAGGAGGGAAAGTAACAGGCTGGTCACAAAATGAAAAGCACGGGCTGACAGTCATCGCTGTCACCTAGCCACACAAATGGTCCCTGGGCCTAATCCTAAAAGACAAGAGCACAAGTTACGGCCAAACAGCGATCGCCAGGGGGGCAAGTCAGACCGCAGTGTGGACAGGAGTGGCCGAGTGCGAGGGCGAGGAGCCCCGCTCTGACGAGGACGAGACGGTGCGTGTGGCCACCTCCCGTTGCAGGTCCTCCACCCGCTTCTGCAGCTCCGCCCTGACAGCCAGCAGCTCCTTCAGGTTCTGGTGAATGGGCATCTGGCAGTGGGCAGAGACAAAGCTGTGTTAGCAGGCCTTACCTGGCCTTCACATGGCCACACCTGGGCCTACCCGCTTCGGGCACCAAATGACCTGCTGCCCCCAGCGAAGGCACCCCTTGTCCTCTGCCTCCTTTCTGAGCTCCCAGCTTGCAGGAGCCAAGAAAGCACAGGTGAGCCAGCGCCCCGCACGTTCTGAGGGTATGAGTGCACACTGAGGACCAGCGGCCTCTCAAAGACGGAGTCGGACTCGCCAACAGTGGTTCCATGCCGCCCAGTGGAACACAGTTTCCTGGCTGCCCACCCTCCAGCCCTGCAGCCCTATCATCTCTGTGTTTTGCATTTTTATAAATAGCTCCGCTGACTGAAAACTGCTAAATCAGCACTTTGTCCAGCAGGGGATTGCGTTTGTTTCCACCGACTGGAGCAAGAGCTGCGAAGAACCCCCTTCCCTGCTGGTACCGCACTGCCTCACCCCAGCAGTCTTTAATCTTTCAAGCCCATCAGTGGGGAGTGGCTATAAAGAAATGAGAAGGGTTTTTCTGGGCATGTGTATAAGCAGTCCCTGTATTCTACAGTTGGTCTTCTGCTCATCCGGCCAACCTGTGAGGGACCCAGAGGTACGAGACCTGGCTTTTTCAGTGTGGGGGTCCCTAGCTGGGGGTACAAGGGCGCACAGGGTGAGGTCCACCTCATCCCCAGTGCAGGGCTGTGGCTCAGCTAGACCATGTGAGTCACCACTTGACCGCACCTCTTCCCCCTACCCTGGCCGCAGGCAGCAGCTGGCCCCAGGCTGCGTCTTCAGCTCACCTCTCCTCTCAGTCCTGCCTCCACCCCCTCAGTGACTCTGAGCTGCCACCATTGGCATCATGGGTGCCAATGGTGACCAGGAAAGTGAGAGAAAAATGGAGGGAGGGAGAAGGATGGACAAAGGCCACCAGAGGTCGGCCAGGTCCCCTCTGGTGTAGCAGGGTGCTTGGCAGTCAGCAGCAGGAGGTCGGCACACGCTCCCTACCCTGAAGTACACAGGAAGAAGAGGGGGAGAGCCAGCTTGGGCTCCGAGGGCAAAGGCCGATACTGGTGGCCAGTGTGAGGGAGACAACAGCGCCTCTGACCCTGGGAACTTATCTGGTGTTGCTCTCTGTCTGTGAGATCACCTGATTCCAGTCAGACGCAGGAAT